CACCTTTCTCAAAAGGCTTTTAATGAGAGTCTGCAGTTTTAATTGGCACCTGAGTGTTGCCTTATTCTTCCTTGCAAATTAGCCCCATTGCCAAGGTCATTTCTGGGGCTGCAGCTAGCAACCTAGGGAAGTCATTCCATAGGACTCCAATGAAAAAAAAAAAAAGCAAACAAAAAAACCCCAGAAAACCAGCAATGGAAAATTCAAACTCATCCAAGCTTGGCAACAAATTGATAGACTGCTCCCTTCATCAGCCTGCACGGCACCGAGTTCTGTACTATTAGCGCTGCGGATAAGAAAGAAGCTTGAGAAATTCTTGTGCTGGCTTTTGAGGAGACACCCTTAGTTTCAGCAGAAAAAAGATTTACATAATACACAGTTTAACAACTTTCTTTTTTTCCCCCCCTAATATTGTTTTCCTAAAAACACAGACTGCTGTTAAGTATAACTCCAGCAGAACTGGCAGCCTTGCATCGACATGTTTTTGTGGGAAGAATTTTTTATTCGAATTTTGCCCCCAGAAGAATATAGTTTTACATGCTAAGGCCACCTCTTAAACAAGTATAAAATCCTTAGTGCATGAAGAATGCGCTCCTTTCACAAATTCAAAACCCCCAAACCTGCCTGCAAAAATACTACTGAACTCTGCTCATCAGATTATTCTTTAAGGGGTATGAGAACTACTGCGCAATATTAACAGCAGATAAATTTCCACTTACTGAGGAGACCTTTTGTGTTACGAAATGAAGAATCACAAAGTTTTACAAACAACCTGAATTCAACAGGGGATTTTGCCTTTTCTGCGTTTGTCTCCTGACATCTCATACAGTTCCCTCTACCACCCATGTCACTAATAAACAAAACCACATTTGAATTTTAATACCTTTTTACTTCTTTCAGACTTGTGCGATAACACACTAGGAAATCCCGTTTGCTTGGCAATGAGCAAGACAATCCTTTCTTGGTGTACAGGAAAGACTCCTCATTAACGAGGTCTAATAACGAGCTGGCTGGCTCGGGCAGAGCCAAGGTGCATCCGCACGTCTCTTGACCAGTGCGTCACTGGACTCTCGCACTGATGCTGTACCCACAGACTGGAAGAGAAGGGCAGCGGCGACTCACCCACCCACCCACCCACATTTGCCTTGATGCTAAAAGACAACCATAGCAGAGACTTCAGGCATTCAGCCTGTTATTAACAGGCAGTGGTTACAGGAAGAAAGCAGCCAGCCAGAGCAGAGATAAACAAAACCAACAAACCCCAGAGTATTTTTAATATGTGGATCGCGTGCTGAGTCAACGACCTTATTTCTGAGTGATGTGAAAACCCAGCTCACCGCCTTTACTAGTTTAAGACACTCAACTCAACTCCACTCAACTCAACTCCAAGAGGCGACAATAGCAATTTGAGATAGACAGGGAAACAGGTGTATGTGGAGAATACCACTGTCCCAGGGAATTAGAGACATAATTTTAGCTGTGAGATAATTTACCCATAACGAGTGGAGTTTTCTTTTCCTTATTCTAATGCACTGAATTTAATTATTTGTTGGAATCGGGGAAGAAAGCCCGTGATTCTGCTTTAAATTGCAAGGAGCAGCAAGTTTTGCATTTGGGCACTTGAGAACTCTGGATAATGAATACTGACAGAGGAAAAAATTAGCTGCTGATTTAGATTTAGTTGTATATGTAATGGAAGCTGATCTGTAAACACCAGCGCTTCAGAATGCCGGGATAGTGACATTCTTGGAGCATCAGACTGAACAGCCTCCACCAGAAAAAGCCCAACGATTATTCTTTCTGTAGTATCTAGAAGTGTAAACCAAAAGCTTCAGGATAATAACAACAACAAAAGAAAAAAACGGATGTCAAAGAATTGTAGAGCAGTTATTTTAAAGATGAGGCCACACGTCATGAGATGGGGCCCTACCTTCCTCGGTGCTTCTGAACACCCAAGGGTTTGGGTCGCTCCTTCTTCCCAGGCCCTGGGTAGACCCCATCCTGCTTTTACTTAAGACTGTAATAATACTGAAAAAATATAGTAGTTCTCCTCTTGGGGCAGGTTTTCAAAAGACCTGGGCTGTCTTATTAAAGAGGTCGTAATGAACCAGAAGGACTCAAATCAGAATAATTAAAATTTCAAGCATTCTAAATTATTTTTAAGAGGCAAAGCCCTTCCTACAGCGATGTATCCCTTTAAGTTCATAATCTCCTACAGAGCGAACACCAGCTGAAAGAGCCCGTGTAGAGTAACGCAGTGAGTAATGACACTAAAAACTTTATTATTTAGAAAGCCAAAACAAGACCAGACATACAAACGAGTTACAGCACTAGACGTCAACGCAGCTGACACATCATTACGGCCCAAAGGCACTGCCGAGCTTCCCACTACCATAACGCATCCTTCATTTGGTCTTTGACGCAAGTTCGTTTTTCAAAAAGAAATACTTAACGGCCTTGTAATGAAGCACTGGCAAACACATCAAAAACCACTTCTGACACTCTGGAGGTAATGGAAATCTATCTCCTGAGAATTGGGAAGCCCTGGCTTAAAGTGTTTCTCTAAATGGCAGCTGGATGATGCCCCCTGACACACGCTCACCCTCTCCAGCAGCACTGTTGACTGGGTGTCTATTCTCATTACACTCATCAACTGTTAGTTCTCCTGAGATAAAACTTGTAATGATCAAAGTTCTCATCAGCCTTAATGGAATATTTACCAGCGTTCGCCTTTTTAGAGTTTTACGACATTTATTTATCATTTAGCCAAAAGAACAAACAGCTGTTTGAAGTTGCTTACTAGCAGCAGCAATTTAAGTCAATAACATGCCCTAAATTGATCTTCACACCTCTCAGACCTCCCCGTTCAGTTAGGTCTAGCTGAAACAGTTCCCCAAAGCCAAGCTGTGCCCGTGTGTGCCACTGCACTTGAAAGGATATAAAGCCAATTACAATCACAACTGTGACTTAACTCGCGCAATAATGAGAGAGAAAATACCTGAAAGTCACTCGCTGGCGTTGGAAACGAGATTACATGCCCGACAGCTGCCGGCAGAAGAAGGTGCATAATTATCATAATTTTACGGTGCCAGTGGGAAAGGAACAGACTATAACAACAAACGCAGACACCTCTTTCTTGAAGAAAGATCTCTCTGAGGACAGTTATAGCAGTGACCTTACTACTGCCCCCAATTTAACCAGGAAAAAGGGATTCGGTAAAACTAAGTGCCAAGTGGCAATCTGGAAGTTTGCTCAAGAGAGGAGACATAGTACATGAAAAAGCAAGAAATAGCAAAACTGACAGCAAAAACTGCTGCCAGTATTATTTCCTGTTGGAGCCACTTGTACAAACAGGTTGAAAATGGACAGAGGAACAGTGTGACCATGAAGGATGTAGTGCTCGTGGTATTAGAGGATCAGGTGCCTTTTAGCGCTGCATTTCTAAAGGGAACTAAATTAAAAACATCCTCTTGTTTCCTTTTCTAGGATTCTACCATCTCCCCTCCTTCTCTGCTCTTTCCAACTTTCCATAAGCGTATTTATCACGTAAGGCTGCAGTTTACCTGAACTCATTGCTATCATCAATCCCCCAAACCTTTAATTAGACTGGAAACCAGGCTGTACGTGGATAATGTACCTAATGGGGCAGGAAAGTTTGGGGAGGAGAGGGTGGATCAACATCCGCTTCCCATTCGCACCCAGGTTCTCCTTGGTTGACTAAGGGGAAGGTGATAGAGCATCTCATAGAAGAGCAGCCCACCACGCTGTCTGAAGTAGCCTGGAGGTCCCTGGGGCTGTCCCCGTCGAGCTAGGCATGACTCGTGCAACATGCACGTTTGCTACGTCATTTGGGATTACTCCAAAGCGTTTGCTAGTCATTTGGATGACTCCCAAGTATAAGCTGTACCACCGATGAACTGTGTTGTAGCTGAGGATTTACCTGCAATAAACAGGACTTGTAAAAAGGCAAGGTTTGTGCAGGTGAAACTAGAGTACGTCAGTCAAGTTCTGAAGAATTACGGAGAACAGCATGTTCTTCACAAAAAAATCCAGTTATCTTTTCCTGTTTTCTCATTTCGGCCCATTCGTTCCCTTTCTCTCTCTTTTTGAAATGAAATTAGGTAATTGTAAAAGGCTTTCTTCTGAACAGGGGCTCACACGAGTTATTATTTCGGTACCACTTGTTTGTCTTTGTACTACTCTATCCCACCTGTACCCTTCTAACTTCTCCCCTACAGCGTCTTTAAACCACAAAACTATTTATCATCTCCTACAGAACCTCTCTGCTTAAGATGTCACCATAAACTCTTATCCTCAAAATCAAGGTAGACTGTGGTATCGTATATCCCAAATCTCCACTATTAATCTGAATTCAAATGAAAATGTATTTATGCCGCCCGTAGCGATGTGATTTTTTCCTCTACTTATTGTGCAACACAGGCTTTTACCTAGGACATTCCTAAAAGAAACCAGCTTGCAGGAGGAGCCCTGAAGACTTTGAGCAGGGGATCAGTGCCATCCTGGGGTGGGGTTTTTTTTGCGTGTGTGTGATTTTGTTTAGTCATTTTAGGGGGAAATACAGTGACCTGTCCTGAGAAAATACATAAGCTAAACTTCCTGAGTTTGCCTTAAGATTTAACGCTTACAAGGGTAAGAGATATACTCTTCGAAGCAACAGCCATACGTGTCATGAGGTTCAGCAAGTAAGGAAAGATACGGTATCGGCTCCTCTGCATAAAGTAGCATCAGCTGTGCCATATTAATATAGGAGAGTCCCTACGCGAACAAACCTGAGCGAAAGAATCCGGTGAAGCGCTTCTTTTGCATCTTCTTCCCGCTCGCGCTGGCTAAATTCAACACTACAATCCGCGCCCTAAAGAGTCTAATTAAGAAAGCGGAACATCTACCAGAGGCTGCAACTCCAAAGAAGAGATGAGAGGAAGCCTACTTCCCAACGGAATCCCAAGTCATTCAACATCAAAGCTCGAAAATGATCTTACTTTTGACAGTTGCTGTTCGGGTGCAGTTGTAGAGGATGGCTAACTCCCCAAATACTTTGCCAGGTCCCATGGTGCACAGCTTCACACCTTCTTTTGTCACTTCAACCTTCCCATCTGTGAGAAAGAAAAAGAAAAAAAAAAAAAAAAGACCATTTTAAAAGGGAAATTCTCTTTCAGACTTAAGTTTTAAAATGTATTTGATTATACTGTGAATAAAAACACCTGAGCCTTACAACTTGAAAACCAATTAAACGTATTACGAAGGACAGCACAAACTCAAGAAAAGGTTAAAAACAACCGTTGCATATATAAGCTTTAAACACTGGAGGTTTTTTAGTGAAGTATCTGTACGGTCCACTAAGCTTCATGTGAACTTTGTTTCATGTATTACACTTTCAGGTGAAATTTTCTCCAATTTTGTGTTAAAAAAGGAAAAGATTTAGGTCTTTTAGCACCACACATGAACACCACAGAGTAATTTTGCTCATTTTCGCTGAGAAACTAATCCCCCAGAACACTCATCCATGAATAACACAGCCATTATCGAAAGGAAAATTACTTTGACCTGTGGCCATTATTTAATTCCCATCTCACCGTACCTTTCCTTTTTGAACATTTCATCTTACCGGAGCAAGTCTGCTTTATCTGCTTACCAATACCGTGCCGAGAGAAGACATGCGAGGCGGATTTAAAAGCAAAGGTTGAATGGAAAGAAAGCAGCTCAGGGCCAGTTTGGGGGTCTCAAAGGACATCTGAAGAACAAGAGCCAGGAGAAGGAAAGGAGCTGAAGATGGTCCCACCACCTTGCGCGCGCACGAGTAATGCCACGATGAGAAGCAGAGCACACGTGTGTGGGGAACACGGAGTTATCGCACCTAGGACCACCATTTAGGCTGTAACAAATACAGCTCAGGACAGAAAAGGGAGAATTTTGAATGTTATCAGCCACTAAGAAGCCTCCTCTCGCCCCGGATTGGGAAGCGGATTGGGAAGGGATCCTGCTACAGCAGCCCCCAGGGCATCACTCTGTGGGTCTACACCCAGCAAGAGAGAAGGTCAGAGTTTACTGGCTATCACCCGCCTCACGGATATCTGCATTCGCCTGTTAGATACCAAACCGGGCCTCAAATGCTTGCAAAAATAGAGAACTAATTAATTTGATAAGAGATGATACAACCCCACGTCCTGAATCCAGAGGCACTCAGCACAAAACGAGCACCATCACAAAAAGAATTTCTACATAACATATATGCTTGAAACCACAGTGCCGTCAGCCCTACGTATCTGCGGGTAAGTCTACACCGCTTGTACCCACCAAACCCCTCAAAGCAAGAGTGACTCCAGCCTACCCATGCTACTCTACCAAAATAACACGCTAACGAGAAAAACCAATCCTTGAGGACTCCAAAATGAGTTTAGAAACCGTATCACTACTGGACACATCACAAGGTCATTCCAGTTGAGCAGAAGACATCAAACATTTCCATGGCAGAATAAAGAAAGAGGGTAAGGTACGTAGAGGTGAATGGAAGAAGGCATTGTATTAAGACAGGGCAAACTTTACAGGACGCCTTTAAAGGGTACAAACTATTTTGGAGGGAGAGGGGTCTTACGCTGACTGGTGCAATAGATTCCAACAGCTGTTCATGATTAAAAACAATAAATTAAAAAAAAATAATGCTTGTTATTTATGAACCTAAAAGCTACTGTTTGATAAAATTATCACTAGTAAAGCAGCACTTATGATTATTACTTATATAAAAATACAAACATCCATATCATAGAATGGCTAGAGTTGGAAGGGACCTTGAGGACCATCAAGACCCAACCCCCTGCCCTGGGCAGGGCCACCTCCCACCAGCCCAGGTTGCTCCAAGCCCCGTCCAACCTGGCCTTGAAAAAAATATACACACACACTCTTATATATAAGGAGGAGAAAATGCCATTTCTTTTGGGACAGCGGGCTGGCTCTGCCATGTGCAGAGTTCTGCAGCTCCCATCACAGCAGGGGGAGATACAGAGGACGGTAACGTGTAAAGGCAAACAAAGTATAAGGAGATGGCATCCGTCCCATTGAGTATTAATACTAGCCGTTGATACTGCACACTCAGCACCCATTAAAGGTCTGCCAAGAGTGCACTCACCTATATTCACACAGTAAAGCAATCACAGAAATACTAAAATACGCAATACAGTACTTCGGGGCTAATAAATAACCCTGGAGAATTAAATTCTAAGGTTGCTGATTTATCGTTAGATCTGAATTCCATTCCTTGTATAGGCTAACTTCCCTTTAAAACTCCATTTCTTTTTATCATTTTTTTTAAAAATGTTTGATTTATTTGTTCATATTAAGTATCAATCTAATATGAAGCACAGAAATAGGTATTTATCTCAAGAATGAGCAAAATCAACCTTTCATGGTGCCTCACACACTTGAGACTAAAATGATTTTGAAGAATACTTTTTTTTTTTTTTTAACAGGACTGAGATTCAGCAGAGCTGAAATGGGGATATTTCTACAAAAACCTCTACAACAAAGATCCACAAAGGTAACAAGTTTACCTCACTTTTAGCTCATGGAGTCATAACAGGTTCCGGAGAAAAGACAGCCAAATCTGAGCAGCAACGCACAAACAGATCACATTATTCAAAAGCGTTCTGAGATCTATCCCACCGCTCAAGATGTCATCTGTTGCTGCCCAAAGCAATCCACGCTGAAAGGAACCTGGAAAGGGACCTGGGAGTCCTGGGGGACAA